TTTTTTTTTTGTTGGCGCTGTAAATGTGCTCGCCCTGGCAATTAACTCGGTAGGCGCAAAGTGGAAAGAGAAATCGTGCGGCTGCTGCAAAAACTAGCGAGCGATGAAAAAAAAAAAACTAGGCAGAAGCGAGTTTTCAGTGACTTTTTAATTTCACGCGTTCTGTGCACTAGCTTTACCCCAAAGTTGACAGTTCGGCGTATCACGCTGCACTGTCATGATTCTGTGACACTTTCAAAACTTTCAAAATCGTCGTAAACTTGATAATCCAACGGGGAGCTGGAGCTAAGACCCGCTATCGAAAACTGGCCAGGTAAGCAAGCACCACGCACACCAGACACACACGCCCGCGCGCGCGCACACAGCAGTGAAACCGTCCTATGGTGGGATTTTCAGAGAATATTCATTAGTTATACACTGTAAAGAGTTTTCGTGATTTTACAAAAAAAAAAGGAGGCAATTGTTTACAATTGTAAAAAATAATTTACGAACACATTTCTTAAGTGTTCATTTACAAAATATTTCGCAACGTTACAGATGTATTTCGAAATGAAATGCACATTTTTATGTCATAAGTCATAAAATTTGACCAAGTCTGATACTATTCAGTTAGAGCTTTGGATTTTACAAAGCAATTCGTAAAATAACGATGCATCTCAATTTGTTAAAAACGAAGGTTTCGTTATCAAAAATTAACAGAGAAAATTACATAAAATCGCGATGGTCTTTTATTACAGAGTAAGCATTTTCCTCTTTACACTTTGGTGCTTATTCTGAAGACAAGTTGATATTTAATCAGTATTCATTAATATACCTAAACAAAAGACAAATTGAATCGTGTTTCTGCCTTCTAGAATTCAATCCGGATAGTAACAGAAAACTTTCGAAGTGTGGGATATTTTCCATGTTCCCCCAAAAAGTCTGCTTCTCTGGAAAATTTCCTGAAATTTCTTCCGAAAACTTTCCAGGGCTTCCAACCCTAATGGGTGGGGGCAACCGACAGACACATCATTGTTCTTTCTCCAGAAGGATAGGCCCAGTAATGAAACGTAAACACCAAGGGGCCGTGGAGACTCTCCGCCAATGAGGTGACGGTCTCCTTGTCGGAGAAGGAAGGCGGGGCGGGCGACTATCAGCAGCTAGCACGAGTGGGGAGAGAGAGAGAGAGAGAGAGAAAGAGAGAGAGAGAGAGAGAGAGAGCGTAATGAGTATGGTTAAGTAGCACGCCAAAGTCCCGAGCAAGGCGCGAGGAGTGCAAGAGCGCAGCAATGCAAGGAAGCGACTTCTAGAGGACCCGCAGCATTCGTGAGAGAGTGTGAAAGAGCGGGAAAACGAGAGAGACAAACAGACAGATAGACAGAGAGAGGGACAGAGAGATGGAGAGAGCTAGAAAGATAACGAAAGAGATACCTTGGCAAAAATATTATACAGAGCGGGTAGAGAGCGTCTTGATACTGTATAATGACTCAAGGCGGTGCTATTCATCAGAGTGGTAGCAGCTGGTGCTGTGCATGAGAGAGAGAGAGAGAGAGATGTGAATTAAGTACATGGGGCCGTGTATGACTTACAGTGTTATTGTAACGCGCGCACAATGTGGAGAGAGAGCGAGAGAGAACGAGAGGGGGGAGGAAAGGGAGAAGGGGGGAGTGAGAGAAAACGAGAGAGGGAGGGAGAGAGCGAGGAAGAGAGAGATACAGAGAGGGGGCAGAAGGGAGGGAACGGCCCCGACCGCCAACCACTTTGCCGGCGACAAGTCGACGACGACTTAGTTCATTGTCTGGGGCGGGCTGGGGGAGGATCGAGCGTGGCGGGCCGTGGCGGGGCGTGGCGGGCCGTGGCGGAGCGTTGCTTGGCGGAGCGCGTGGCGGGGTCGGCTGGCCGCCCTGCTCGCCTAACGCCATCAAAACAGGGCAGTTTTGTGCGTGTGTAGATGGGAGAGAAAGAGAGAGAGAGAGAGAGAGAGAGAGAGAAAGAGAGAGAGAGAGAGAGAGAGAGAGAGACAGACAGACAGACAGAGAGAGACAGAGAGACAGACTTCGCGGTCGCGAGGGGGAGTAGGGTGTGCTCTCTGGTCACTCCAACTTGTCCGTCGCGCAACCGCGACAGCAGCCGGTGGGCCACCCCACTCACGGCACGCGGGCGTTCTAGAGGGGGCGTTCCGGTGGTGGGCGTGGTGCGGTGGGTGCGGTGGCCGCGGTGTTCCCGTCGAACTTGCTGGAGCCGGCGCCCCGGCGCCCCCCTCCTCTGCCCGGCTGCGCGCCGCATGACGCGGTCGGCAGCTGATGCATTTTTAAGTGGGCACGATATAAGCCCCATGGACCCAACTAACACGAGTTTGGGGACGGGGGCAGCAATTGAGCATAGTGAGGGGAGAGGGAGAGATTCCCTGCCCGCCTCCACTGCCGTGGCTAGGGTTGGAAATTTCTTAAAACAATTCCGAAAAATTTCCGTAGGAAAAAAAAACTTCCAGAGTGAAAAACTTCTAAGATTTTCCGCTTTTTTTTAAAAAAAAAGAAGTCCCGGAAATTTCCGGGAAACAACAAAAAACTTCCAAAGTCTTGTAATTTTTCATCGTTTCCCACGAAAATTTTCCTTTTTTTAAAGACATTTCCCCGAAATTTTCCGAAAACTTTCCAGGACTTCCAACCCCCGGTTAAACAGAGGTCCTGGGGCCTGAGGAGCATCCCTTTGTAACTGCAAACACTACATGATGGGCCGGAGCGCAGCAGTGGGGCTACGAATATCAGGGGGGGGGGGGGCTCCTTCGTGGACTCCACTCCAAGTTGGGAGATGGGCCCCTGCAATCATATCAGCCCGGTAGGGGGCAGGGACACTATGGGCCACCCGGGGGAAAGGGGCAAAAGGGGGGGGGGATGTTGGTCATCGCGTAAAGCCAAGGGGAGGGGGGGGGCGAGTCTCCGCGACCCTGTCTTAAGCCAGACACCCTTCGCACACCGCCCAGGCACCAACGAGGAAAGGATTATCGATGTTATTTTTGCAGCACTTATTTGTGGGTAAAAGCCTTCTATCCTGTTGTTTGATTGTAGATTTCTTTCTTTTTTTTTGTTTTTTTGTCCCCGCTGCTCACAGACTGTGTCCAATCCAAAAAAGTGTGTTCGACTAAAGAAATTAGAGCACTTAACAAATGCACAGCTGCCGAGTTGAACACTGGAAAGTGACAACTGTATCGAGTTGAACCGAGTTGAACAAATTTCACATAACTACCGAGTGGAACACTTCAGAAAGCACAACTCGCTGTTGAACGCTTCTTTAAGAGTTGAAGGGCTGATGTATTAGTGCGGACAGAGCCCGACATGGTCAAGCTGGCTCCCAAACCTTAGGAAACGTCATGATGTTCTCTAAAAGGTTGTTCCTCCCTACCCACCCCCAGAAGAAAACGGGATAAAGAGAGAGAGAGGGAGAGAGGGGGGGAGGGAAGAGGGGGGGGGGG